TCCATAGCTTCAATGTTATCCTCCGTGTGAAAAATATTGTCTTCTTTCCCTTGTAAACTAATATTTAATGAGTTCAGAGAATTAAAAATATCAGCCAAATAGGCCACTGTACAGAGCCATTCAAAATTATTGAAAAGATTTGCATATTTAGTAACTAATCTTAATTGCTTTTCAACGATAACTATTTCAACAATGTATTTATTATCAACAGTATTTCCCATGTAATACGAATATTGCATCATTATTTTCGTTTTATGGATAGGTATACTTTGTAAATTTTTAATTTACGTTCGCGGACCCCCTCCGGTATACGTGCGGACCCCTAGGGGTCCGCGGACCACAGTTTGGGAAACGCTGGTGTAAAACATCGTAGGGGGCTAGCTATACATGCAATATTGTAATAGTGTATAACTGATAGTACGCTGATGACCAATTGGCAATTGGTTATTCGTAGTCCGTACACACAAAAATAATATTATCAAAAATATTATTTTCTAATAAAATTATGAAAATAAAATAATACCATGTTCCACATAATATTATTATGGTGCTATAGCCATATTAATTTATTTATAGCAGAATCAGTTATCAGTCAATATCAATGTTTATGTTTTATATTATATTTATAGCTTTTAATTAAGAATAGGTCGCACCCGCATATTATGTTGTCTCCGTACACAGTAAACACAGACGAGTACCCGACATAGCTAATTAAGTTCGTATAATATTTCGCTATAATACATGTTGGTAGGTAACGATAACGTACCGTTGCGATCTTCGTCGACGATAGACAGACGGTTTCCCAGAGCAAAACATATTTAGTTAAGGACCCCACACACTGCAGCGGTGGTAGCGGTGGCGGTGGCGGTAGCGGTAAAATGAGTCCGGACACAATTTACCGGCACCGTCAAGACAAAAGACCTTTATCGTTACCGCTGCAGTGTGTGGGGACCTTAAAGGTTAGGTACAGTAAAGGTATATAAAAGAATGTTTGCTTAAAATGAGTTAAATGAAAAATGGTGGTAAAAATGATAAAGCAGTTTTATAATATATATTAAATTTAAATAAGATTATGAAAATGTGTAGGAATTCTCAAAAATTATTTTTGCCCTCACTTGAATAGAGTCCAGTTACGCCCATGTCGGTGAGGGACTTGGATCCGCTTTTACCTAAGGCACGTTGTAATACACAGAATAGGATCAAGCGTAAATAATGCACGATTGCACTTCCTACTGCATGTGCGATATTATATTATAATCTAACTTTGGACGGATCACTATTTATTATAAATATATAATAACACGGCCATTCAATCGCGGTCAGCAAAGAGCGTGTAGTGTGGCCCTCAAAAATATGGTAACAAAAACGCGAGGTTCGTCGCATGAGCAAGGAATGTCTCGTAGTAATATAGTAATTTGTTTATCGTTAATGTAACCACTAAACAATGTTTAAATAATTAAATGTAATATGTTGTACGTAACAATATGTATCGTGATCCGCTGGCAGATATTAGGCTGACACCCTCGAATAAAACAAAACGCCCGGGATACATCAGTAGAATATATATTATATATTATATATCGTATGACATTCAACAATTCAGGCAATGGTCGGATCGGCAAGCTGCCGAGGAAATCTCGGTGGGCCACTCAAAATACGGGCCAGTTATGAGTATTAAATGGTAACTTTTTCTTTTTATGATAATGAGAAATGAGTACAAACATGAGTATAGAAATGTATAAATTAATGAAACTTAGTGGGCCGATACCATATTACCATGACTATCCTGTTACACCGTCACCGACTCGACAAAGGACGAAAACGCAACACGACAGTAGTATACTAGTATACCACTAAACCATGTGGTATACAGGATGCGTGGACGGAAAAGGGCGGATACATACGGGACGCAAACAAACGTGACATACCACATACAAGCTGATAAAATGTATAAATTCGGCGGGAGCACTACAGTGACGCTCAAGGCGGAATGTGCCACAACAAAATACGAATGTACATTGAAATTAAGATGACACTTACAACTAAGGCGGACATGTAACAAAAACTGTCATACACCGTCAGCGTAATTAATAAAATAATTCTTGATGCTATAAAAAAACGGCTGTCGCGACATAGTGACATGGCTGGCATTTGGACGCACACTTGGTCAAAGCAGAAGACGGGATATGACATGTGAATATATTATTATTATGTAGATGTCGTTGATAATGACATTTTGGCCAGATGCAACGGCGCGGGTTCGTTTTAGTTCAAATCCACGATGACGGGTGTATCACCAGCTGAAGTCATATGCACTACAATACCTGCGGTGAAATCACGACTTTCCAACTTGATTTTTATCGGGCCTGCATATTTTAGCTCATTAAAAACTATTGATGCATCCAGTTGGCGGGGGACAGTGACCGAATCTTGAATTCGGACAAAATATTATTGTGAATCCATTGCGATATTCTTTATGGGCATGTACCTATGTTAATGTATTATAAGAGCATTGGGGTTTAAACTGTAGAATAGAATACATTATTCCACAGTGTTCGTTGTAACAATAATACTAAAATAATATGATTTAATGTAGAAGGATTGTATTTTGATCATTCAAATTGGGTTTATCTTTTTGTGTGAACAACAATCTATGCGTTTATGCAAAAAAAATTTGAAATTTTTAATATTTTTTTTCACTTTTGAATTGCGGTGACATTAATGTTTATATTAGCACTGTACTATCCATTGAGGGTTCCGACACACTTTAAGACTGAATCATTCGACCCACCGTACCACCAAGTTGGTGGCACCAACACGTTCTTTTGTTCTGCGATATTTACGCTTGGTAGCTTGTGCTTATGGTCGGCGGGCGATGGTTTCAAATGTTTCCGGTATAATATAGGTATAGCCATCTGGGCCCTAGGTAAATACAATTTTTCTATTAGAAACTATAACAACCAATATGTAATTTATCACTGTAAAAGTTATTTATATTAATTGTATTAAATTTTGTTTTAATTTGTATTTGTTTAGCTGTTTTACTTGATATTTGATTGATTGCCTACAACATGAGTCTCATTAATTCATCTTTATTTGATAGTCATCTATCTACATTAGTTTTCGATGAAATTAAACTTAAAAACAATGTTAACGGATACATCGAGCGTATGAAAATGTCTGAATGGTCAAATAATTTTAATCGTATTTTTGTTAGTCCAGGAAACTCATTTAATATAAAATATTTCATAAAGGTATTTAAAACATAATATATTGTTAAAATATATAGGTAATGGATAATATTATAATGATAAATATTTCTAATAATTATTATAATAATTTTTTAGTTTTTATCATCAAAGTTGGCTAAAAATAATCGGATGTCTCGATCAAATGGCCTCTTATCCAATTCGAATAAAGAAAATGATCAACTAATATCACAAAAACGGCAATCTGATGTCATAGGGCCTCAACAGCCTGCCATTATAAATGAATTAAAAGTGGGAAAAAATGACGAGTTTGTTGATGATATTATTGATAGGCTAACAGGAAAAGAATTTTTGAGGTGAATTTTTATGTATTATATAATCACTTAACTACAAACTATATTATACTTTGGTATAATTTACATGTTATCATTATTTTTATCACATTGTCATTTTATATTTGGATAACAATATAAACGGTTTTAGATTATTGAACATAGAACCAAAAAAACGGTTGGAAACAATAATATATAACTATAGTGTGTTCAATAAAACTTTAGAAGACGACGTATCGTTTGAAAAATTAGACAAATTAAGCAATGACGATATAAAAGCAGAAGTTCCATATGAAATATACATCGAAGCAGTAGATGATGAATCATTCAAATTGAAAGTAAGTAATATTACAGACCAGTGGTTTTCAACCTGTGCGTCGCGGCTTTCATCAAGTATATTTTGCAGTCTAAACTAAAAATGAAATTATAATATAATACTAAATATAGTTTTTTTAATCTTTTTTTTGAGGTCGTTAATTCCGCGCACCAATAAATGTTGTGCGTCCGTGTATGTGAGACAGATCGGCCGGCGAAAACCGTGAATTAGGTTATTTAACTTCGAAAAGAGCTTCATTTTTTTCTTCTCGAACAAAAAAAAAAAAAACATTTTGAACAATTTGAAAATGAAGTTTTTTAATATAACTATCGTACTCATGTGGTGTACAAGGTAATGAGATCCACATTTTGTAGTTAACTGAGGAAATTAATCTTGTGGAAGAATAAAATGGACAAAGGTGCTTTAAATTACTGTTTCAGTGTTTCCCTACATTGTTTATATTCCTTCATGAAAATAATTTAAACTTGATAGAATCTGTCAAATTATTATTCTTGGAACACTTATCACAACTCATTGTTAATTCCCAAAATCATTTTCCCGAGGACGATAAATAAAAAAAATTGAATTAAAGATCCTTTTAGTACTGATATAGATAATAATCTAATCTAATCTAATATTTCCGAACAAGCAAACTGATAGACTTATCCTCAGAGTCAGCATCAAAATCCAAATTTGCATTATCATCTTCCCCAGAATTTTGAACAGCTATGAAGAAGCAGTTTCCGATCGCAGTCAATAAGGCTATCAGGCTTTTGATTCCATTTTCTTATGTGAAATTGGTTTTTCGGTCTTAGTAGTTTTTAAAACTAAATATAGAGCAAGACTGAATACCGAAAAGGAAATGAGAATCACCCTTTCCAAAATTTACTCCATGATTCGATAATATTGTGCAACAAAAACAAGCACAGCCATCCCATTAAATATTAAAATTATCATTATTGTATTTAATTTTTAATTGTAAAAAATAAATCTCAAAAAAAAAATGTATGGGAGCCGTATATTTTATTAAAAAATCAAAAGGAGCCGTAGACCCAAAAAGGTTGACAACCACTGTTATAGACTAATAAGCTTTATACCAGGGTCTAGGGGTCATAAACCTTTTCCAACAAGTGAGCTAAATACCTACATTAAAATATTTAAATACCTATCTGGTGAATGACCACTATTTAATTAGGTATATTATTTATATTATTGCATTTAGCATAATAATAAATCGTATTATTATTAATTATATTCTTTTTTATTATTTCTCCATCGGAAAATCGTATGTTTTTCTTTGCTTATAAATACTTTAGTTAGTATATAAGGCACCACAAAAATGTGTTATGATTATGTACGTGATCAACCGATATTGGTATAATTAATTGTTGATATACAATCTACCAACATTTCTTTAAATTTCGATAGCGATCGACTGGTTGGCGACCCCTGATCTATACTCTACACCAGAGGTAATCAACTTTTTTTACCGAGAGCCATATAAAAAAATTTCTTTTTGGGCTAGGAATTTAAAGTTTTTCTTTTAATTTAATATTACATTTTATTATTGTAGGCACATCTTAATATAGGTACCTATACCAAATAAATATAATTATTTATTATAAATGTATTGTTATAAATAGGTTAGATAAATTAAATGGGAATATTAATTTGTATTAAATTTTACAAAGTTACATTTTTAGTAATTTTTTTAAACTTTTATTTAATTTTAATACTTTGGCGGGTTGATTAATAAATTATCGCAAGCTGGATTTGGCCCTCGGGTTTTATTTGGTTGCCACTGCTCTACACTCTATATAGCGTAAGAATCCAGGTTTCTACTTTCCTATTTTATTAAGGTTTTGAGAATATAAATTGAAATTATTATAGATAATTGTATTGCAATTAGAATGAAGTTGTGAGTACAGTAAAAAGTTCTGACCTTATGGGGTTTCTAAAAACTTGTGGTATCATAGTAATTGACATATCTAGTGACAACGAGGAATTATCTAAAGGAAAAGAAATATTCAGGTCATTAAAAAGAGAAATCATAAACTTTAAAGGTATGGAAAAAACCAATGTTTCAAAAAATATAAAATTGATAGTGGTAATATCAACTGTGATGACTTGGGCAGGCGTCAATAAAAAAGTAAGCAAGTTATACATTTAAAACTAATAAAATAAATAATACTAGTATTTACAATATAACTGTTTATTTAAAAAGCATTATGTGAGTGAGGATGATATGAATAATAGAGTTCCAAATCCAGAATATGTAGAACATTATGAATTTGAACTTGAAGTGTTAGCTGTGAATGAAACCGAAGGAGTAAACATATTTGCATTTTGTATTGATACAATATATAATAGGCACTGATCACAATATTATTTCTATGTACTAGCATATTTATTTATTATTTGTTTTTATAGTTAAAAGAAATTGTGAAGACAATAATCATTTGGACTGGACTTACATATGGGTTTGAACAAAATTTGTTAAAATTCGCGTTTGACTCAGCTTGTAAAACTTCCGATGTATTTCCAATACCAAATAGCCAAAACCACGTACCTGTAATACACGTTGTAAACTTGGCCAGGTTCAGATATCTATTTAAGAATTTATAAAATAACCTAATTACTTATATATACGTTTATTTATTATAACTGTATGTGTTAGGCTCATACATAAAATAATATCCGAAAATCAGGCACTAGAGTATCATTATATTTTTGCCGTTGAAAGTCCAATACATACATTAAAACAAATCATCACTGTAAGCATCTAATTATAACTCAGGTTTAATAAATAAGAGTTTTTACCTATTGAAAAATGTTTTTCTAGGCTCTCGCTAACTCTTGCAATGTGGCTATTCCGATGGTTGTGTCATTAAATACATTTCTAAATAAATATGAACTTAAGGTGAGCAAAAAATTCAGATTGTAAATCAGCACTTATAAAAGTTAAATTTCGAAACGATCATATGATAATATATCATATAGGGCATACATAAACAAATTATATCAGCTGATATTAAAGTCAATTCGAGGATTAACCGATTGTGGCCTAATTTCGAATGGTACAATAATAACTCATCAATGCTGAATTCAATGAAATATTTAGTTGAAGAGTACAAAAGAGCTCATAACATTAAAGTGAAAATTTTTTTTAAAGCATTATTTTGAATGCATATTTTGTAGTGTACTAAATAGAGATATAGGTAGGTACCCACGTGTATTTATTTTGTATAGAGTATTAAGTTCATTATACTGGGTCCACCGGCTTCTGGTAAGACCAAACTCGCACTTCAACTTGCCCAGTATTATGGTTTAATTTACTTGGAACCAAAAAAGATAACTCAAGAACATATCAATGGAATCGTGAGTTTGAAATAATTTATTTATTATAAAGAAATTATACATGGTGTCAAATTATTTTGAGAAGAGAGAAGAAATAAGTTCACTGTACCACGAAAGTCAAAATACTGAGGAGTCAGTAAATTTATTAAATGATGCTGATGATAAAACTGATATTAATCCAATTATAACTAACAAAATATCAGAACTAAATAAAAAGCTATCAAATTTATATTCATCTATGGATGCGAATAATGATGTTTTGGAAGACATTCTTCTAATTCCGTAAATAGTTTTTACATTTTTTTTAAGTATATAGGTACCACCTGCAGGCTGCAGCTATATTCTATAGGTTTTTGTATTTTTTTATAGATTATTGGATGAAAGAATAGCACTTTCTACAAGAGGGTATGTTTTAGATGGATATCCAACTACAGTAGTTCAAGCCACAATGCTATTTCGGTTCAATAATACGAGTTTACTTGAATCAAATATAGATATTAATAAATTGCCCGGTAGCTATACAATTATATAATTTTTTTTTTTTATTTAATTATTGTGTATACTGTATAGTACTTACTACGTACTTACCTAGTACCTACTATATATTACCTAGTTTAATGGTAATAATTTATTAATATACTAAAGTATAATAATAATAATAATATTTTCTTTATTACGGAAATAAATTCCAATTACAGTTTTTTTTTCTATAATAATATGTATATAATATTATATTATCTAAGTACATTTTCGGTGATTTATAAATAACAATAATAATAATATAAATAATAAGAATAATGATGGTAATAATAATAATAATAATAAAAGAAGAAATAGGTATTATTTAGTATTAATATCATACATTATAATATTTAAATTTATAAAATAAAAAACAAAATGAAATAAAAACGAGATATTTATTATGCTTCTATTGGACAATTATAGTAGGTACCTAATTTGTTATGTATTTCTTAAAACATTTGCCATGTATATATATTATATACATATTGGCTATTAAGTATTTATTAAAGGTTAGGTAAGCTTAAATTATAATATGTATTTTTGCATACTACCTAATTGATACGTCATTAATTATTATTTATTATATTGTTGTAGATTTGACAATTAATTTAACGCAAAAAGCACTTCATTTACCCACTGAACAGAACAGTGATATCAATGTCGTTACAAATACGCTAGAAACAAGTACAAAAAGACGACTCCTGTTCTCAGAAGTTGATACAATACACTCATCAAATTCTGACATCGCCGTAGCATCTAATGTAGTTAATGCAGCTAAACCCATTCTAAAAAAGCAAATTAAAAAAAAACCGTAAAATATTAACCATTTTTTAAAAATGTGTGCCAATATAAAATGGACAATAATGTAGTAACTTAACTATTTTAGCAAACGCTCAATTTGGAATGGACGAAATCATAACAATCTCTTGAAATTACTCAATTTATATTATGCGCCAATAAAGATGATTGAATCTCCATACTTACCACTTATATTAGATACTAACAAAGTTGAATTACCAGAAATCGATCCAACTTTTGAACACTTTTTAAATATAGTTGTAAAGGAAATCAAATTGAATCAACACCATGGTGATTGAAAAATGATAGTAACATACTAATTAATACATTACAATTTACTAAAATAAGACAGTTAATTAACCATTAACATTATTAGGTACATTAATCAGGCTAAATGTATAATAATATAAATACATTGATACAGTATACTATTATTTATTCTGTAAAATAAAATTATAGGAATATCGGAGAAAATTACTGATTTAAATAAAACGAATTCAATAGTGGAAGGAATTAACGTTGAAAATCAAAAATATAAAATAAAACAACTCAAGGAAAAAGTAAAAATTTATTTAATCTATATTGCAATTTTTTAAGTGGCTGGAAAGTTATAAGAGCTAAACAAAATGAACTGTATAGTAAAGGTAGCGTGTAACTCGATATTTTCTCCACTTCACGGAAAAACATATAATCATAGATGTTTTAAAATTATGATTTCATACAAATGTATAAACGAGGTTGGTATGGTAACGTAATTATATATTATTCATCCGTTGTTATGGATAGCCTGGGTACTGTAACGAGAAATTATCCATCACCATTACAAAAATAAAAAGTTGTACCCACCCCAAAAACATATCTATATCAAACCTTAACCGACAAAATATGCACATACAGATGCTGAATGTGAAAAAATTAAAAAAATGCATGTTAATTTTCGCTGAACTTGTTGGAAGCTTCTACCAAAATGTTAATTCTAGTAATAAATTTGAAAAGAAAATTTTTATAAATATCTAACTGAAAAAAAAAATTAATTTTATCAAAATTCGATTATTAAATATTCATATAAAAAATAACTATACCTTCATAATATTATACATAATATTATACTATATATTTCTTAATTGCTATTATAATAACACTTCAAGCTGTTTTCCAAAGTGAAAAAATTTTCAACGACAATAATTTATAAGTTTACAGATTTCGAAAAATTGTTTATGGCTATCAATAGCTCAAAAACAGTCAAAATATTTTGAAAATTTTACCATGCATGAGAAATGATGATATAAACATTTATTAAAAATTTAAAGTGTCTTAACGGTTATTGCTGTTATTATTTTTTGAATGAGGTATCTACACCAAAAAAATAAAACCGATTTTGTCAAAATTTTTTTTTGTTTTCCTGACGCTTTTCAAAAACTACGGGTCATTTTCAATTTTCACCTCCCACATCCACTAACTAGATTTACTTTTCTATCAGAAAATTGCTGATGTCGAAATTCGAAGCATATTTACTACCTACCTAACAAAAATGACATATAAGAATAAAATAAAATTACAGATAGAAAAAAATACATTATTGTAAAAACCATATCGCTACGCTCATAATTTAAAAAGTTGATTGTATAATATATCACACAGAGCTCAAACAAATTTACGACAAGCGAAGATTCAGGAGACAATGGAAATTATATTTGTCCATACAATTCAACCAAATCCCAATTGCCAGTACCAATAGGCAATAATACACTATTAAATATTGAACAGCGCGAATATAAAATCAATAACTACAGATAGTTATTAGATATCATTGATAATTATAAGCGACTACCGATCAGTGATCAATGATCATACTAACTACTTACCTATTTAGTATTTATAGTAAGTAGTAACTATAACAGCAAGTCCGCGGCTATAGTTATAGGCGTATTACAATCATGATGGCAGAAGACCTTTTATTTTTATTTATTGGTTTATTTTAACCTTTTTGAAATTTGCTTTAAGAGTAACCATAATTTTCATTAAAATCAATAAAATATGCACTTTTATTGACAAAACATAAGTAAAAAGTTAGTATTTTAACTCATATACGAGCATAATATGAATAAGTAGGTAGGTAGCTTGTGCTGATATAATTATAATATAAACACCTAGAAAATCATGCGAATCCTATAATTTCTAAACTCTAAATAGTGTATATGTTACGGGCAAAATGGAAAATTCGGTCACTGTATACAATGTCCGAGGTTTATTGGGCAATGTAAATTGTGAAGTATTTATACAAATAATCTGCATAATATATTTTGTTAGATGATCCTGATAAACTAATATGAACTTATAATCGCCATCTGATTGTGCTTGCATATCGATCAAGTCAATTTGACAGCGAGAATTCATTTCAGAAGATATGATTGGTTTTACAACCAACCTTTTTTTAGCTGTACTTCCCTTATTTTTACACGATTCGCAATTATTTAAGTATAACATTATTACATCTCTAGTTATATTTTTGTACTTTTTATTAATCTCGTGTTCCATTCT